GGATGTATATGTGTGTGCGTGTAAGCACACATGTTTTCAGCTATTTGAATGTGTGTATCTGTGTCTGTGTGTATGGTGTTAGAGGATGTAGTTGATTATAGTGACAGGATAGTTACACTGTGATGATAATGACAAAAATTAACAGCAGCAACGGCATTGTACAAAATTAAAAAAAAGGCCAACCTACTGATTTAAACAACTAAATCTCATTATAAAACAATTAATAAAGTGATTTTAAGCCTTGATAATATAGTTGTCTTCGAAAATTAGTTTTTATGCCTATATTGTCTATAAGTGGTGTGGCTCGAAAGGAAATGGCAATAACACTTTTTTTTTAAAACTGATGATGTCCACCTCCAGGAGAGCTAATAAATTAATCGATATTTTGCGAAGTTGTTTTCACCTTTTTTTGTCTTTAAGAAATGAACATTGACATGGTAATTAGAAGATCGTCATCACCATCACCTAGTGACCGGTACATAATTATATACCTTGTTTGTCTGTCTATGTGTGCACAATGAAAGTTTCGTTTCGTTTTTGTTCCAAATCTCCCCCTGTCGTGTTTGTGTGTGTGGTTGTGTTCAGTAGGTAATTCAGATAGGGAATATTCAGATAGCGATAAGTATTAGTTACGCTACACAGCAAAAATACTGATGATGGTAATGAAAATAATAATAATACCTAATAAGTGGAATAATCCTACCTAAATCATTGTCAGTACTACTATGATAATTTTTGTGAACTAGTAAGCACGGTTTGATACCCGGAAGAATGAAAATGTACGTAAAGCATTGTACAAGTTTGTGTGTGTTCATATTATTATTATTATTATTACTGTTTCCTTTAGTCCCTAGAGGAACATAGGGCTTCAGCTAAACGTCTCCATTGCATTCAGTCCTCTGCTAAAGTTTTCACTTGGCTCCACGTCTCCCCACATGCTTTCATCTCCTCTTCACATGACCTCCTCCAAGTCACCCTTGCATTGACGACCAACTCGCCGCTTCCCGTCCGGGTCCCACTCGAGCGATGGCTTGTCTAGTGATGTCACTTGATGGTTTCCTCAGAGTATGGCCAGACAATCCATCTCCATTTCTTGCTGCCTATTTGTTTCACAATCGGTTCCTGCTGTGTTGGTTCGCTCATTCCCAGAGATCCCTGTTGCTGATCTTTTCTGGCCGGCCATCTGATCTTGAGCGAAGTATTGAGCGAAGACAACTGTTAATGAAGGTCTGAAGTTTGTTTGAGATTCTCTTTATGACGCGCAATGAAAGTCTCTGATCCGTATAGTGAGTAGCACTGACTTCACATTGGAGTTGAAAATCCGGATCTTATTTTTGATTCTGAGTGATGTTGACCTCCACACAGACTTGACGTGAGTAATGAGAGCTTGTCTTGCTTTCCCTATCCTTGTTTTAACATCCTCAACAATTTCACCTGTAGTTGAAACAATGCTTCCTATGTAGGTAAAGGAGGCTACTTCTTTCAGATTTCTCCCATTTATGCTCACTGATTCTTGTCTATTTTTGTTGATGCTGTTGCTGTACGCCAGGAATCTTCATCACCTCTGTTTTCTCTATGTTCACCTATCTTTGATGCTTCTTCTGCCAACTTGTTGTTTTTCGCTTACATATCTTCTAGTTTGTGGGAAATCAGACATATATCATCGGCAAAGTCCAGATCCTCCATGTTTTTCGTCAGGGTCAATTTTATGCCTATTTCCTCATTTCCCGTTGTCTGTCGGATTATCCAATCTACCGCAATCAGGAAAATCATTGGTGATAGTAGGCAGCCTTGTCTTTACTTCGAAGGATTCCGTAAGTTTCCCATCGTGGATTACTTGGAATGCAGCATTGTCGTACAACTGTTGCATAAGATGTGTAATTGTCCGTGGCACCCCGGTGTGTTTATATGTAATAGAGTAATTAATGAAAGAAAGTAGAGACGCTTAAAAAAGAGAAAAAAGTCTTAAAAAAAATTAATTTTCAGTTGGTGAAAATACTTTCGCATGATTATTATTATCATCATCATCACGTGTCGACATAAATTCCCGTTAATTATAAGTTGTTTATTCCTCATTATGCACCTAACTTAAAGAATAAGCAAAAGCTGAAGAGATAAAGGGGTGAGTTAATGCAGGTTCCAATGTCTTTATGTCTCTTGCAAAGAAGGTTATATTGAAAGTTGAGTTTCTAAGTACTACAATACACAAACTAATATGTTAATATACAAGTGAGTGTTTTTAAAAGAAATAATTGATATTCAATGATGCCAGTAATAAAACCACTTTAAAAAGGGATCAAAGAATTCCTCTGTTTCTTTGTTTCCAACTGCTAGACACTTAGAGTTATTAGTTGCATTATCCCATGACTAACTTAACCTCAGAGATATTGTGACCTGTGTTACGGATAAGATTTATCAGTAGTATATAAAGAGACGTTTATCGGCATAAAATCATCAAAGAGCAGGGGGATAAATTTGATTTCAAAGAAGGCAAGTGATACAGCATTTCGGATAAATATATGGAAGACGTGAAAGGAACACAAAGAACACACACCCAATATGAAGGCCAGAAGCAGCACAACATGAAAGATCTGTGAAAATGGTGAGTGCGTTGAAGATAAGGTGTCCATAATTTGAGTATAAAGAGACAGCAAATTGCAGATAAATAGTTCTTTATCACGTCTCTCGTCATCTACCGTTACAATACTACTACCTCTTAAATAAGACTGAAATGTAATCATCTATTTCGTATTCATGAATTTCACTTTATCATTCAAAAGTTTCAGTAGGCATTCCCATTTATAAGTTAGTCACTTCAGCCTTATAGTTCTAGGAAATTTACCACTGAACCGAGAGCAATGGATTGTGCCTGCCTTATAAAACTTTTTGTATGTGTCAATCAATCAAAATACAGAACGATATTATTTTGTGCTGATTTTTCGCTATTTTTAATACTAACCGCCTTACTAAAGTGATGTTATATCACAATTTACAAAATCTCAACTTGTATACACTAACCTAATCATCGTTCTTCAGCATAAAGTGATTTTTGCGTTGTCAGATGGGTAAACTGGTAAAGATAACAAAATCAAGTGTAGATTGTTGGATTTGATAAGTGCATGAAATTATAAAAGTAGCATGTGTGCTTACATAATGAAATTGTTTGTCACATCAGTGTTGATTTTGTCAATTCCTTGAAACGGGGTTGGGACCAATTTACCCACTTGACAACATGAAAATTACTTCGCGCTGACAGACTATGATTAGGTTACTGTGTATAGGCTGAGATTTTTGTAAATTCTAGTTTAACATTCCTTTTTTAAAACTGTTAGTATTAAAAATAGAGTAACATCAGCACAAAAACTTTTATAATAATGAATATCATATACCCGATGTCCAATTTTTTTCAAATTATCAAATGTTGAACTGGTTTTGGACATATATATATATCACCTGATTATTGTTCATTTGTTATGATTAACAGTTATTTAGCTGACTTGAAGGATGTTTCCAGAATAAATTAGAATCTGTCAATTCATAAGAAGTAGACGCCTGTTTTAATTCCCTTTTTAAAACCTTGCCATTCTACATTGAAGAGTGTATTTAGTTCGAGTCTATGTCTTCTGGGTTTAAAGACGAAAACTATATAATCCAGCGCATAGGACATGCTGTAAACCAACATCGAATAATGTGAATGATGGGATAATTATTGAAGGTATTCATTAGAAACAATAGGTCAAATAAAATAGTTATATTCACTGAGGTATGAGACTAGATTATGATCATTCCAAGGTCCTCATCAGTAATGTCAACTCTGAATATTAGATGCAAAAGCGTACAAATCATTGGAACTTTCTGAATTATTGGTAGTTACCTTATCTTCCTATTAGGGTAGAAACAGATTGGTTTCTGAGGTGAATTTAACCTACGGGTATTTAATTCGAACACCATTACGAGGTAATCATATGTTGTCTCTTCATTTTTAGATTATTCTGGATTAATATGAATTCCTAAGATATTCCATTTTTTAACTTTTTCTTTATGATATATTAGCCAGTAATTTATATTTCTTAATTACAGGATACCAGTGATATAAGTAGCATCAGTAAACTCCTACTCGCTAAGCCAGTAGGAGAAGCTTATCCTTGTTTTTTTTTTGCCATCGATTATTTTATTTTTTCCTTCACTTTCCCAGTGGAACATAGGGGCTCAAGCTAGTGGCTTGAAGTTTCTTGTAGCAGCTTTCATTTTTACAGGATGAGGCTGCTAGCCTCATGCCCAACCTTTCTTCTTTACCAGCATTATTTCTGACCTAGCAAGATAAAGGAGTGAGTCGGCCGGGGATTGAACCCCGAACCATTTGCATGGTTGGCGAGCGTCCTAACCGCTTTACCACCGACACACACCATCGATTATGATCGACAACAATAGGCCAAAAGTACTAACCAGCATAAGAGATATTTTTTATGCATCAATATTAAGTAAATCTATGTGTGCTTATGAGATTGACTGGCTCTTTCACTATCTATCACCAATCTATATTCACATGCATAATTAAGCTCTTCAAAATGAGATTATTCGTAATTATTAGGCTTTCAGCACCATGATAATAAATATCACGCCATTAATCACCAATAAACTCCTCCCTTTCTCAAAAGTAGTTGGAAAAATGACCAGCTAGGATGAGAAATATTGCAAATTATTACACTGAATCCCATAGGAAGCAGAAAGTAGGAAACTGTTAACTACGAGATTCCTAAAAGATGCTAAGCTATGCTCCAACAGCGGTCTCACTGTTCTATGGGTTTGTACGAATAACTCTATAGACGTATCTAATCTGTATAATGGCCAGTTAATTAGCAGCCCGTTTTAATACATGTTAGATAAAAGACTAAGAGTCCTTTAAGTTACAATGCTTTTGTATAAAAACGTTATCTAGAAATAAGAAAGTATCGGAAAATTTTCAGTACTATCATATTTAAAGCTACCATCTTTCAATAAAATGCAAAAAAAGATGCTATGGATGACTAAAAGACTTAACAATTTAATACACTTTATGATTTAACTAATTACATATTATTTCGTTGTACAAATAACTGTTTATCTGAACTGGTTCATTGTTCAATATTTTTACAATGAAAGCATAAAAGAAGGGGAACTGTATATTGATCAGTACAAGGCTGAGAAATGTTGCCTAACTACTTTCTTGTTCTAATTCTAATGCAGGACACCATATCTGATTTGATTTTTCAAATGATCTTTGCTTATTTCCATCATTATCACCATGGTAAACATCATTAGTACTATTGTTATTTTTAAGACTAAGTAAAGGAATTTGTTTCTCGTGAAAATGGAAATTTTTTATATAATTTTCATTATTAATTCTGTTACAATCAAGTGACATATTTGATTCTATTTGTCGTGTTCTTCTTTCATCCCCCGTTGAACCAATGAATGCATTTGAATGAATTATATGAGAAGTATTAGTTATTCCGCGTTTACTATCCAATGAATCCCTAATTGGTATCAGGGTCGATGATACTCGTGATAGTGTAAGTGATTGTGTTAAAAGTTTTGAATGATTCGCTTGCATAAATTCATGACAATCATCTTTGAGACTTTTTTCCTCATCCTCTCCTGACTCTTCATCATTATCATCATCGTCATCTTCATGAAGAGGTAATGAAAAACAATTGAATTTTTGTTGTTTTTGTTTTCGCAAAGCCATTACATCGCGTTCAAGTTCTTCAGCTTCTCTTTTTAGTTTAGCTCTACGATTTTGAAACCATGTAATGACCTGTTAACAAAAAAATAATGAAACAAATTTCCTTTTTTTTAGTAAAACGTCATTTACATTTAAATTGAACAAAAGTTGAACAAACATTACTGAGACTCTTATGCAAAATAACTACCCAAAGAACTTCATCAGCAAAATCAACAATGATATTAAATATGGTCGAAAACGTATTCCGAAAACATGAACTTCAACAGTTGTCGTTCTACACATAGATCAGAGACGTCAGAAGATATTAGAAGAGCACTCAATAAGCTCGGAATCAGAGTATTCTTCAAAACAAAGCAACCTTGTCCATATAAAAGACCAAATCTCTAAAGATTCTCTATCTAATTGTGTCTATAAAATAAAATGCTTGGAATGTGATGCGATATACATCGAACAAACATCACCAGAGATAAATCAAAATCAGAAGAAATGAACATCGTAGAGCCTCATCTGTTCGACCACCGAGAAATCCAGTTGAACTAGAAAAGCTTGAAAAATCATCAGCCATAGCTCGTCTACACGCTATAGAGTCAAGTCATAAAATTCATTCTGACAATATTGAAATAATTCAGGAAAATTTCAGAAATCACAAAGAATGTCTAATATCAGAAACACTTCATATCAAATGGAATCCAAATTGTCTGAAAAGGAACGATGGACTAAAACAGAATTTGACCTGGTTACAACACCTTCCTCCCCCTTGAAATGATAAAATCAACACTAATGTGATAATCAGTTTCGTTGTGTAGACACATGCTGCTTTTATAATTTTATACACTTATCAAATCCAACATTCTACACCTGGTTTTGTTATCTTTACCAACTGGCCAACTTGACATAGCGAAAATGACCCCATGCTGGGGAACGATGATGAATTTGTTTTATATATATATATATATAACAAGAGAGAGAGAGAGAGGCTGAGATTTTGGAAATTTTAGTTTAATAATACTTTGATAAAGCTATTAGCATTAAATAGCGAAACGTCAGTAAAAATAATATCGTTTGGTTTTTCATTAATTGGGAAATACAAAAACCTTTATTATAATGAATATCATATACACAATGCCAATTTTTTTCCACACTGTTAAAAGTGAACTTGGTTTGGACATATGTAAAAGCTTTTAAAATTTAAGTGTTGCCTACTTTAAGCAATTCACTTGATTTAATAGTGGTTATACTGTTACGAGTCGTTAAAGTACAATGTTTCACGTTCACAGCCACAAGCACAATTCAGAACAGAATCCTCAGTCTCTAAGGTGATTATCTTATCATAAATTTGTTGATTCAAAATCCATTGACTCATAGTTTTGCAATTTTTCAATCGATAATTTAGTGTAGTTGTCATCCGACGTCAAAGTTAAGTAATTAATCCCCCTAACCACGATTTGGTTACCACTCTCGGTCACCATTTCTCATCAGGAAATTCATCTAGAGTTGGGCAGTGGACTGTGATTCATTTGGAATGTTTTATGGAGATATCTTTAATAACAGACTGAAATCACCTGGAAAACCAAGCTGAAGTAGTAAGCAGCAGATTTTTGTTTTATAGTAATTTTGAGACTTGTTATCAATTCATATCCTCATACGAAATCCAGTAGAAATGATTTCTTTTGTTTCCTTAAAAAGGTGAGCATTAGCTCACCTTTGCAAAATGTTACCTTCTATTAGTCCACTTAGGACGTAAATAAATGTATGTACAACAGGAACATGAATCACTTCTTATTTCAATTCTACTGTAATATTTACATTTGGAATATATGACTTGAAGAACCAATTAAATTACTTGTTGCAAATTATTTTAGGCAAATCCATTTCTTCAATAAGCTTTTAGTAACTATCATCTAAGACACTGCAAAAATAAAACAAGCGTTCAAGTTTGCTTCATATGTTAAAATTTTACTCTCTCTTAATTCCTCTTTGAGTGATTTTATTGAACCGAAATGTTAATCCTCTGTCATCATGTCAGCAGCTAGCATGGACGCTTCGCTGTTTAAAATGATGGATGATAGATTCGAATCTTAGTGTGAACACAGTCAACCACCGAAGATGCTGACGTATCTGGTTGATGGGTTCCAATTAGGACGAAACACACGTATTGGATTCTACTGCTAGTTATCCCCTATCAAATAATATTACATCCTTTACGTGTCTTACTAATGCTAAAGTTCAACAGTCCTGGACGCGTATCATAATTTGATTCTGTTAACTAATAATAAAACGATGCACTTTCACTATTTAGATTGTAAACATTTTAAAAGACACCTGTCAAACAAAATGAACTTATTATACTCGCCTCTACGTGTCTTTATTGATTTTTTTAAATTCAATAGAGCAAACTACTGTATGAAATGAAAAGTAGAATTATTTGATGACTACTTTTATGAGAAGTCATTGCTCTTACGTGTTCCAATAATTTTCATGACTACTCATTTAAACAATTTCCTACAGTTGCTTCTGGTCCTTGTAAGCTTTGCATTTAGAATAAAGGGCAGTATAAAAAAAGATACAGTTAAACTAGATTATTAGTTAGAATCACAAGCTATAAATGATATTAACAACATACTGGTATTGTTGTGATAGATTTCCCACTCCATTAAGTTATTATTATTACTGTTTCCTTTAGTCCCTAGAGGAACATAGGGCTTCAGCTAAACGTCTTCATTGCGTTCGGTCCTCTGCTAAAGTTTTCACTTGGCTCCACGTCTCCCCACATGCTTTCATCTCCTCTTCACATGACCTCCTCCTCCTCCAAGTCACCCTTGCATTGACGACCAACTCGCCACTCCGCTTTCGGGTTCCACTGGAGGGCTTATCTAGTAATGTCACTTGATGGTTTCGTCAGAGTATGGCCAATCCATCTCTATTTCTTCCTGCTTATTTGTTTCACAATCGGTTCCTGCTGTGTTGGTTCGCTGATTGCCAGAGACCCCTGTTTCTGATCTTTTCTGGCCGGCCATCTGATCTTGAGTATTGAGCGAAGACAGTTGTTGATGGAGGTCTGTAATTTGTCTGAGATGCTCTTTATGACGCGCAGTGCAAGTCTCTGATCCGTATAGTGAGTAGCACTGACTTCACATTGGAGTTGAAGATCTGGATCTTATTTTTGATGATGAATGCTGCTGACATCCACACAAACTTGACGTGAGTAATGAAAGCTTGTCTTACTTTCCCTATCCTTGTTTTAACATCCTCAACAATTTCACCTGTAGTTGAAACGATGCTGCTTCTTTCAGATTTCCCCCATATATTCTGACTGTTGTCTGTTTTTGTTGATGCTGTTGCTGTAGGCCAGGAATCTTCACCACCTCTGTTTTCTCTATGTTCACCTATCTTTGATGCTTCTTCTGCCAACTTGTTGCCTTTCGCTTACATATCTTCCAGTTTGTGGAAGTTTATTAAGTTATTTATACATGAAAATGTTTTAATAGTAATAAGACAGGCACGAAACCTAGGTTCAAGGCTTCTTGCCGATTGTCCCCATCCATATAATAACAACAGTTCTGGGGGCACCATGATGGCGAGCCACCTAGCATGGTAGTCACACTGTGAGCTTAACTGATATCAGAGGAGATTTGTGGCTCAGGTGGATGATTTTGGTGTAGTTGTGTTCGCTGAGCTGGATGGTCTATTTGCGAAGATTTCATTACCTCACCAGGTTACATCTTCAGCTCATACTTCAATTTAAAGTAAAGTTTTAAATTTCTCCACGAGTTTATTAGTCATCTATCCGGTAATTTTGAACATGACTAATTGTTTTTGTCTTTTCACACCCCTAGTCTACTTTTATTGGTATTGATTGTCCCCTTTACCTAAAGTTTAACTTTTTGTGCATGAAATTTCCTCCTTGTGGATTGGTAAATCTTGTCTTCACCAACTTGTCTAAGCTCACTTTAAAATGAAGTATTCACTATGGATGTTGCCTAGAGAGGCAATGAAATCTTCACAAATAAACCATCCAGCTCAGAGAAAAAGGAATCACTGATAGAATTCAGTATAGAGCAAACAAGGGAGTAGACACATGATACTACTTAGTGTCCAATCAATGTACTTTTGTTTCATTTAAAAACTTTGTTGACTAGAGTAGTTAAGAGCCACTCGTTTACCCATTACTATACACTGCACTACGAACAAATAAATTATTTGAAACGCAATAGTCTGACCTAACCATTTTGGTTTTTAACGGTGAAAAGTTTCATCAATACTTACACTTCTTAAAGAAAACATACAATCCTCTCTCTCTTCATATATATAATATGATAGTTATAATTTATATAAACCTATAGTTACCTGTGTATTAGTTAATCCCAAATGTTTAGCGATTCGATCACGATCAGATGGTGTCAGATACTTTTGACGATGAAAATTATTCTCTAATTCACTCAATTGAGAATTAGAAAAAGTTGTACGAGTTTTACGTCGTTTACGTGTTTGTGATACTTTATTGTAAAATTGTATTGTAGACTGTTCATGAAATTCATCTGTAAATAGGGAAAATAAACAAACATGATTAGTGAAAATAAACAGAGTAACAAAAGCGATAATTCGAATAAGAATAAGAATATGAATGAGATACTCACTAGCGACTTGCCCTATTCAGTTACCTGGGGTTCTAGTTTGAAGTCGTGACCACTAGGTTGCAGCAGGTCGGATGTGAGGACAAATACTCGCCGAAGACATTGGCTAGGGTTCGCGGCATGTCATGAATTGGCAGAAGTTGGAATTCATGGGCTAGCCATCGGATCGTGTGGGTCCCAGTGGCTTATGGTCTACGAGCTCGCCTTGTAACCAGAAGGTCCTGGGTTCGAACCCGTAGTGTGGGTGCGCACTGGTGAAGAGTCCCAAACTAGGACAGAGGGAACAACCGTCCAGTACTCCCAGCTTTTTCAATAGTTCTCTTACTGATGTCACCTCATGATGAAATCCTGTAGCCACTCAAATTCCTACAATCCAATACTTGAATAAGAATATTTCTAATACAGCATAGTAAAGTATCTAAACCATTTCAAAGCTTGAAAAAACACTGAAGTTGCATAATAATGGAGAATAAGAAAGATAGATCAACAAAATCAAAATGAACATAAGTTTAGAATAAATAAAAACGGCGTTCGTAGCAATGGAAGTGGCAAGATAATCTGGGTCGAATTAGAAATAACTACTGTACACATTTCGTATAGATCCATAATTTAAGGCCACATATATGAAATTTGGTAACAACAACTTTGCTTTAAAGGTAGGATGAAAATCCGCTGTAATTCTGTACAAATGGCTTTTCTTTTTTGTTTAAATTTTCGTGCATTTTGAAACTCATGAAGACAGAGTTTCAACTTAATCTAGAGAAGACAGAGGTAATAAAGATACCCAGTCTAAAATAACAAGCATCATTTACCATCAGGTAGGTCTCGTGCTTCACTTTCTTGTACGGTGTCGTTTCAACTAAGGGCGGAGGCACGTGCAAGAATTTCGAAACAGGATAAAAAACCAAGACATGTCATCATCATCATAATCACTTGAAACTAGCGTAGAGACCGACAGCGCTCAGCACAACGAACAAATCCAAATATTCAGGTCTCCGCTTTTATATCTTTCACAGAATTTTCCCCGAGTTGTCAAAGCACTATCACTAAACTAACAATCGTTCCCAAGAGTATGCGGCTTACATGAACTTATCATCTGGTTGTAACTGTTAGATTTACTCAGCGTTGTTAAGTTCATAATGAATAACAATGTCGTGTCAATGAGGTTAACAATAATACCATCACTGATAGATTCTAATCGCCAATCAAATGTTAACAGGTATACAATTTTCCACAGGCCGACCTATTCGCTTTGTAAAGGAAACTCGTGATTTATAACAATCTCCAGTGGATTACAAACTCCACAGAATCTCAACAAATCAATATTCACGGTCTGTCTATCTTTCAAAAGCATAGTTAATCAATTGCTTACAATATGTGAAGCGATAAGAATGAAAATGTTTAGGAATACATTTTAAACCTTGTAGATTTCACAAGAATTAGAAAGCAGAAAAATCATCAGCTTCCTATTCGTTTCAACATCTATAAGTTAATCGAGCAAAGAATATTCTTTTCGATAAATTCCTCTTCTGGCTCTACAATTATATATATATATATATGCACAAAATATTCAAGATTAGTAGTTAACAACAATATTGGTGTTTTTTAAATAATATCGATTTGTAAAGTGTGATCAATTCAATTACAGTTCACTAAAAATACTTAAATTATAATAGTAATAAAGATATAATAGCGAATAGAATATCAACTAAAATGAGGAAATTTCCACAAAAATTGAGGATCGTTCAAACCTAGATGGCCTGGACTAACTTCTTTTGGACTCACAAATTAGGCTTGTTAATATGGATCCCCACAGCCTCAACAATATTTAGTAATCGAACTCTCAAGGCGAAGTTGAGATTTGTTGGTATCCGGTAAATAACTCTAAAAGCCTAGTTAACATCAATCTTATGTTCTGTATCCACAAGATGAGCTAGAATAGCGCTACGAATAGATTTTGTTTGTCCTTTGCTTAACCACGCAGGGTGATGTTCGGAAATTCAACAAGAAACACGCCTAATTGTGCGGCCTATTTAACTAGCTCCACAGGAGCAGTTAAATTGGTAGATACACATGGATGAGGCGAAATTAGGCAGTTTGTCTTTTACTCCCAAACGCAGAAGAGGAGTGGTCTTAAAGATACAACGTAATTCAGCAGCAGGGAATGCTCTTTTTAACGCTGTGTTAGTATCTCGCTAGTGTTGTCTCCAAGGAACTGCATCTGAAAGAATAAGGCCTTTTTGGAACTGTTGGTAACTTTGGCTGCTTTGGTTTCAAATTCATATTCTTATCAATAAACTTTTCAGGATAACCATTCTCACTTAGCAACCGTTTAATATTATTAAGTTACCCATCAAGACATTCATCCGAGCAAATCGCTCTTGCTCTGTGAACCAGGCACTTTATCAAATTGCGTTTGTATTTCAAGGGCATAAAACTGAGAAAATGTATGTACTGGCCTGTTGATATAGGTTTTTTATAAACACTTCTTCTTATTGTGCCATCCTCTTTTCTGGTCATAAAAACGTCTAAAAATGGAATACTAGATTCTTTTTCTGTCTCGATGGTAAAATTTATTGCAGGATGAACCTCGTTAAATTTATCCAGGATGTTCTTTGCTTCCTTCTCATTTTTCATAATTAAAAAAGCATCATCCATGTACTGACAGTAAAATAAATATTGCTGAGGCTGTGGGGATCCATATTAATAAGCCTAATTTGTGAGTCCAAAAGAAGTTAGTCCAGGCCATCTAGGTTTGAATGATCCTCAATTTTTGTGGAAATTTCCTCATTTTAGTTGATATTCCATTCGCTATTATATCTTTATTACTATTATAATTTAAGTATTTTTAGTGAACTGTAATTGAATTGATCATACTTTACAAATCGTTATTATTTAGAAAACACCGATATTGTTGTTAACTACCAATCTTGAATATTTTGTGTATATAAACATATATATATATATATATATATATATATATATATAGGAATTTATCGAAAAGAATATTCTTTGCTCGATTATTTTGTGTTTTAAAGATGTCTGAATGAATATTTTTGCTATATATATGAGTTAGACAAATGTGAAGTGCAGTGATAGAATTTAGCTCATATACAGTAAATGAGATTACTTGATTTCCTTTATATAAGAAGAGATTTCCCTGTACATTACACCATATTACGTGAAATTACCAATGTACAATCTACCTATTACCTAAATTAATTTAATAAAGCAACACAGAAGAATTCGCTAGCTTTCTTTTAAGGTATTCAATTAACTGTAAGCAATAAATTTATAAATGTGATTTAACAGACTAAATTGTGATTTCGTTTATTTACTTATTTATTTTCAAATCCCACCCATTTTGAATATTAGTTTCATCATCACTTCCAAAACAAAACTAAATTACTAAACATGTGGTGTAGCCATTTATGAAAGTGCGTTTAGGCATTTTACTACGGGTAAATATTAGTGTAATTTGGCTAACAGCATATATCATACGTTGGCTAAAACAAGGCTCTTATTTAAAAGTTGGTTTCATGAATTGAACACATTGAATTTGCTTTACTTCATTAATTTCACAACTTCAGTTAAGTACTAAGTACATTACCGCACAATTTAAATGAAACACAGCTTATTCTTTTTTTTGTTTTGTTTAGTTTATTGTTTATTGTTTTTAGAGGTCATTAAAAGAAATTAGCAAAGCGGATATTCTAATGGTAGTGACAATATTCAATGTGTTCAATATACTTGTATGATAAATGTGAATGTGGATGAATTAAACGAATAGCTACTCTTATTGTTTGCATATTATTATTATCATCACCATCTGATGAAACCATTAATAAACAGTTGTTTATTTTATGCAATGATAACTTAAAGATGTAGTCATAAATTTCTTTTGTAACTAAATATTTCCCAACCTACCTCAATGTATCTAATAAGAAGGGAATATAACCCCTGTAGGCGGAAATCTAGATAAGGCTTATTACCAAATATGAAACTTTGCATTTGTGAATTATAGAATGATATATAGTTATGCGGATAATAGAAGCTATGTATGAGTTAAATAGTGAAATCATGTTGACGATAAAAGTCTAAGCATTTTAACGCTTTGTAATTGAAGATAATCGACAGGAAGCCCTGAATCTACTGCCATTCAGCAGAAAGGCGTATTTGGAATCTCGAAAGAATATTTACCCTCTGGGATATTTGAACTCGTATCAGCCTCTGCTATAGTTAGAGGCATTATTACTGAGCTATTCGGACTCACGATTAGTCCCCTGTAGGATTATACCAGAAACATGGATCTGTCATTAATTTGAAACCAATGTCACGTGTCTAACCTTTAGTGTTGGTGCTGACCTGAACTTCTCATTGAGGAAATGTTGTTAATCATATTTTTTTATTTTTTATTTTTTTATTTTTGATTTACAGCTTGATTCCACACTGTATTTTCGGTACAAGTATGGAATTTTCAGCATGGATATCGGTAGCCCAAATTTTGCAGGCCGACCATAGATATCAGGTGTGCGTCGGTGCGGGCTCGAACCCCGGACCATGTGCATGGTCGGTGAGAGTCCTAACCACTGTGCCACCGACGCACAGGAAGTAAGTAATTCAGATTACTTTTGATTTTCCCTTCCATATTCTTTTAAACTTGTTAATTATTCAGTGGTTAAAAGGAAGGAATAACTTTGATGATCACTTATGACGTGGCGTTAGTCGAAATCTAGGCATGGTCTAAGTCTTTCTCTTTACCACAATTATATTTTCCATCTATATCACCTGCGAGAAATAAATAAAAAGTAAAACATTTCGATGTGATTATGAGCAATAAATTCTACTAACATGAAATACTATAGTAAAGCTGCGTATTTTATGAAATAAAACCAATTATAAGA